TGTAACTGTTTGTTACATGCAATATGCTTTGTGGACTCCACTGGACAGATGTTGCTCTCCGGTTTGTGATGAAACAAAGGTGTGTCCAATTTGTAAGTCGCTCTGGATAAGAGCGTCTGCTAAATGACATAAATGTAAATGTAAATCTGTGGTTGAATTTATTCTGCCACTGTGACTTTTTATTGTCTCTGCCTTAGGCCTATACATCACAGTGGCAAGGCATATGAACTAACAGGTTATAGAGCAAACAATGCAATTATCACAACACAGGTTGTAATATGACATTATTTTCCTGTCTTGGCTCCCCCAGGGATTTTACCCACGCACCGCCACTGCTGTACAAGCCAATACGTATCCCATGCACAGTGTATTAGAGTGTATTGCATTGGGGGCTATGGAGGGGGCAGATTGAAATGCCAGCATCAGGCAGTGCAACACAGTCTCCCTCCAAAACTAATAATCCTATTTGGTTAGCAGAGACCCTACTGAGAATTTCCCACCCCAAAATACTCAGTAGGGTCTCTACTAACCAAATATGATTCGTTTTTCGAGGGGGACTGTGTTGCATGGCCTGCTGCTGGCTTTTCACATTATGCACTATGCAAAGCTGCAAACAATATACATTTTGTATCATACGCATAGCGTTTTACCGCGGACTTTTATTTTGAAGGCAAAATTCTAAAACCGGAAGTCTTAGTGTGGATAGGATCCAGCTAGTGTTGCTGCCGTAACGCTAATTCTTTCCTGGGGTTCAAGCTCCTCATCTGATTGGGCGAACGTTTTACGTAGTTGTGCGTAATGACGGAGTTCACAAAAGTGTACGTTAGGCGACAATACGCGCCGAGCTCAGGGGTGTATTAACTAGGAACCAAACGGAAGCAAACGGAACAAAACGGAGAGATACTTACCTGAATTTGTCCAATAGGAACTCTCGTTTTCGTTGCAAAACGGAACGTTTAGCAACTGTTTTGACTAATGATTACACCCCATGGAAACTGTAGCCAAATTATTGGCTCTTTCAAAGTCACCTACCAGTTTTACGCAGTGAATCATGCCTCGCAAATAATAATGCCAAATACAGAGCATATTTAATCTTTCCACAAGAACATCTGCTTGCCTAAACAACACTTCTTTAAACAGTGTACAGGCTAGGCTCCAACACCATTTATGCGTAAAGAACATAATAATGCGCATGGATTCAGGCATAGCCTACAGACCGACAGAACACTCTTAAATCGTAATAAATGCATAGGCCTAAAAGTAGGTGTTGCATTGCATTTCTAAGAGAACCTGTGTTCGTACCCATACAGGACGTACCCATACAGGACAGCAGATGGCAGCACCTTTACATTTGAATCTGCAAAAGACACTAGAAAGGAAGAATCTCTTGCGCAGTGCTAGCTCAATGGTGCAGTGCAAGTAAGCCATTAAATGATACAATGATGCAATGCAACCTGGTTACATTGTATCACTGCTTTAACAGTCAAGGCAGTGTCAAAGAAAGTATCTGAACCGCAAGGGGATTATGTTGCACTGTTTATTATTTCCAATAGCACAATGTGTATTTTCTTTCACATAGGAGACACAACAAACATTTATTTCAACATTAGTTTCTATTAGAGTCTAGAGTAGACAATGTATCTAGCCTATTGGATCGGCTGCCAGATTTCATTCTGGGTTGTTTCCTACTGTTCAGTGTTCACATTTCAATACTGTAGCTAAGGCTACTGATATACATTGATTCTTGAAGAATATAACTTATAAATGCATCATGATGCATCATGATTAGGCAAAATCTTCTCTGCACACCAAGTGGCGTGGCAGCCTTTGGCTGAAAAAACAGACTCAGGGTTAGGCCTATATGCTTTAATTGGGGCCACTGGTTAATTGGAGCCATTGCAAAGCATGGTTACTGTTTTTAGGCTATTTTCCACATCAGTGTTATGAGACCTGTGTATATTTCCGTAGCCTACGCGATGCTATCTTACACTATATAGCTAAGGAAAATGTTTTTTTTTTTTTTTTTTTTTTTTAAAGTTTTTTTTTTGGGGGGGGGTGGTGGATCAGCTTAATATTGCAGATAGATTGTATCTTCTATCAATGTAATTGTCTGCATCACTTCCAATCCCCCATGTTTTTTATATACTGTACTCCCCTTTATTACTTTTCAACCCCGCCATCCTTTCCCTACTTGGAGTAAATTAGTGAACAACAATGCCCAGGCCTCTAATGAAAATGTTTGTGTCATGCAGTTATGGCGGGACGTAAATGGTAAATCTCCAGACCCGTCTGTCGCCCTGCATGACATTTCTTCCATTGTGTACGGGAAGTTGCTAGACATGAGCCACTTGTGGTCAGAGTAGCGGCATATATGATTGAAGTCAGAACTTTTTCTACCATTGAGCGTCATCATCACTTCAATTTAACCTCCCGCCCCCTCAGCGCAGTCTCCGGTAATCGGTCACGGAGGTGGTGTCACCACTCTCTGCATCAACTTTGTTATCAGACGTTGTCATTTTACTCTTAGGTGCAACGGACTTTTCTCTTCTTATGTGTACATCTATTTGTGTGAAGATGAATAGCTTGAAGGCGTTTAAGGAGCCATTCGGTAAGTCTGCACTTTTATTTAAAATGTTTAAATTCTATAGATATGTCGTTTATGGCCCTCTTGTATGTTATCTATAGGCTACTTATTGGTTATGGCATGTTTGTGTCCACATCTTCCCGCTGGGCAAAACTGGTTGAATCAACGTTGTTTGCACGTCATTTCAAAACAAACAATTCAATGTGGAAAACTGATTGAATTTGTAAAAAGACATCAACATAGTTTTTCACCCAACATTTAACCTAAATCCAATGACATGGTGACATTTTTGTTGATTTCACGTTGAATTCATGTTAGTTGACAACGCAACCAAATGTAAATCAAAAATAGGCGTTGAACTGACGTCTGTGCCCAGTGGGTTGTTTGCTTTTTGAACAACCTACTAATTTACGAACGGATAGTCCCACTGTAATATTGGAATGTCCTTTTGTTTTATTTATTTTTAAATGTAGGCTTTCAGAACCTTTTTATGAATAAATCTTTCCACATCTTAGTTGTAAGAATGTATTGACATAACAGAGAACTTGCATTTTATTGGTTCCATTTCAATGTGCTCTTCTCACAAGTGGCATTTCCCCAAACATAAAAATCCCCTCCCAGTATCGATAACAATAAGGGACTTGCACCTTACTCTGTCATTGGTACCATTTAAGATGAGGGAGGCTGATTATTTTTTTTAATGAGCATGGCCTTATTTCTATTACAGCATATTGGATGGCTGTCATTCATATTCTATTCACCCAGATCAATGTAGCATCGATAGGTTTAGGCTACTACATGACACTTGAATTTTCGCTGTACCCATAATGAGGTTGCTACAACATAGCCTATGAATGAAAGTTTACAACATAGAGAATATTTAGTAATCAAGGTGACAGACAGTGACACATTCAATACCGCCTTGCACACTCTTGCCTGCATCTAGCTGATCTAGGGAGTAATCATTAGTCCAACAGTTGCAAATGTGAATTTCTATTGGATAAATTCAGGTATTTTTCTCCACGTTCCGTTTGCTTCCGTTTAAGAAACGTTTTTGAACAGAATCGGCGGAATGAATACACCCCTGATCACACGCAAACAGAGTTCACTTTCATAGCAGCCACATGAAAAGAGCAACTATCTACGCGCTCTCCTCCTCTCACCTTTTTCCTTCACTTGTGGACTTCAGTGCACAACACATCAGCTGTCTGTGACCAGACAAAACAAACTTTCCAAGCCAAACCTTCATATCATGACCGCTATAACCGCTACACACAACCTACGTTGTTGTCACGTCATAGTCAACATAGCTACTAGAACAAATGCATTAGTAAACCCGCTAGCTACAATCATGTAGTACAGTTAGAAATCAGTTTAGCAGTGGGCCCAATGTGGCAATACCAAAAGCTTGCCTTGACTTGGAATAGTTCCAGTGTTGGATATCCATATCCAGCTAGCTAACATAGCATCCCTCTCTGTTTGAGCCGGGTGTTTGAGTAGGCTAAACTAGGTAGCTGCATTCTCTAGCAAAGTGAAAGTGAAAGTAAGAAAAAATACAACCAAATATAGCTAGCTCTCTCTCTCACTTCCCCTTAATTTTGGAATAAATTAATTTGTTCAAAACTGTTCAACTATTGTCTTTCTGTCTCTTTGAGTCAAATACTCACCACATGTTATGCACTGCAGTGCTAGCTAGCTGTAGCTTATGCTTTCAGTACTAGATTCATTCTCTGAACATTTGATTGGGTGGACAACATGTCAGTTCATGCTGCAAGAGCTCTGATAGGTTGGAGGACGTCCTCCGGAAGTTGTCATAATTACTGTGTAAGTCTATGGAAGGGGGTGAGAACCATGAGCCTCCTAGGTTTTGTATTGAAGTCAATGTACCTAGTGGAGGACGGAAACTAGCTGTCCTCCAGCTACACCATGGTGCTACCCAACAGAGTGCTGTTGAGGCTACTGTAGACCTTCATTGCAAAACAGTGTTTTAATCAATGAATATATTTAGTATAGTTTTATCTAAAAAGGATAATTTTGTTAATGTTTCACTATTTGTTTTTTTATGAAATTCACTGAGGAGGATGGCCCTCTCCTTCCACCTCTGAGGAGCCTCCACTGCTCTCACTGGATGTATGAGATGTGTGGGAGTGGGAAAATATAACGTTTTGTCAGTGATAAAAGTGAGTAGGCTATGCCTAGGCTATGCCAAACTGTCCAATGTAAGTGCTAACTAGATTAAACATAACAGTTTTATGCTATCTCAAATCTGAGGCATTGGAACATTGGCCACCCTGAGGAATCAAACCTAAATGGCAAGCTAGGCTACTGTGTTTTTGAAATGTCAATGTTGTAAAGAATATAACCCCACATTTTATGTTTGGTTTTCACTGTGAATCAATAATATTTCCAAATATAAATGGCTGTTTTGGTGTGGGTAGGTATAAAAATATGAGCTGTCCCCTTGAGCTCATGCATATGAATGACATTTACTCAGTGATCTGTTTGGACAGATACCTGTTGGGTCTTGAGGATGCATTTTTGCTTGAATGAGCAGAACAAAAATACCCCACTGTTGCACAATGCTCTGATTTTTTTATAAAAATGACTGTGCTTTTTTAATGCTGAAACATTGTCCTCATCAGCATGTCTTGAAGAACAAGATCTCTGTTCTTTATTACTATTGCGTTGTCCATTTTCATATAGCAGCCGAGGCCTTTACAGCAGCCGAGGCCTTTACAGCAGCCGAGGCCTTTACAGCAGCCGAGGCCTTTACAGCAGCCGAGGCCATTACAGCAGCCGAGGCCTTTACAGCAGCCAATGGATTTACAGCAGCCGAGGCCTTTACAGCAGCCAAGGGATTTACAGCAGCCAAGGCCTTTACAGCAGCCAAGGGATTTACAGCAGCCGAGGCCTTTACAGCAGCCGAGGCCTTTACAGCAGCCGAGGCCTTTACAGCAGCCGAGGCCTTTACAGCAGCCGAGGCCTTTACAGCAGCCGAGGCCTTTACAGCAGCCGAGGCCTTTACAGCAGCCGAGGCCTTTACAGCAGCCGAGGGCTTTAGGCCAGCAAAGAACGCCTCCTCTCACACAACAAAATCACATAACTTATTTTTCCTGCTAAGCATGGTGGAACTTGAGTTTTCCAGCACACACATGCACACAACCCTCAATCATCCACCGTGCATAGACGAGGCAACAAGGCATTTGTCCATCTTTGCGTTAGATATAAAAACTGCATGGATTGAGTTAGGTATCAGCACGTAAGCACGCCATTCATCTCAAGCCATGTGTGGGAAAAAAGTGTGCCTTTGTCGCTGCAGAGCAAATGCACCGTTAGATGGTCTGATTAAATGTTTCGAAACTCGACTTATCTTAAAGGCATGGGTGGTCAAAAAGGAGAAAATCTAGGTTCATCTCTGTGGAATCATGGCCTTGAGGGATCTAACGTTATTATGATGTGGTTTATATTTCATCTCTTGAACTTCTTCCAGAGCGAGTAGGTACATGTCTCTGCATTCCCTGAGCAGCAGAAACAATACTGAGCTGAGCTGGGTTTCTGCTAATAGTTGATGAGTAGGGGATGTGGGGCTGATGTGTCTCAGCATTGCATGCTCTAATAAGGAGCAAGGTAGAATGAGTATGCATTACCAAAGGATCTGTACATAAATCTGTGCAACCACAGACCTAGAATGAGACTCTATTTCTATGTGTGCAACAGCAATTACATGGTTATTACAGTGACACTGCAATAAAACATCACTGTAACTGTTCTGCTGTTATTGATCTTACTGAGAGCTTGGCATATGGAGAGGTAACTGGCAGGTCCTCTCTTGTCTCACTGTCATCATCATGTAGGAAACAACATAAAGAGTGGAGAAAATACTGCAATATGACAATATACAGAAAATACTGCAAGATGTACTCTTTTCACACTTGGCACAGACGTCAATTCAACGTCTATTCCACGTTGGTTCAGTGTCATTTCATTCAACATTAATTCAACCAGTGTGTGCCCAGTGGGTTGTTTGTAGCCTCCACAGAAATTATCAGAGTTTCTGGACTGTGATTTATGACTAGAATATGTTAAAATAATCTTCTTCAATCAAAACTCATGAGGGTGTGTTAGTATTTATTTGAATATGGTATGATTGCGATGTAAACCTTCTGACAGTTTTCCTCCCCATAAAAAAGTGACATCTTGAAAAAATGTCCCTTCTTGTTGGTGATATGTTCAATCAATGACAGACTGACAGGCCCCTTGTGCGAGTCACCTTACAACTCCATTAAAATAACATTTGCTGTGGTAAAATTGGATATGGTGCATCAGTGTGTGAGTGTTTGTGTGTGTGTGTGTGTATGTTTGCTCACGTCACCAATGTGAGAAAACCCTGCATATTTTGATATCTTGTTTGAGGAAGTGAGTTCACCTACATGTTGTCGTTTTGAGATCTTTGCCAATGTAGTTTCAACTGTGTCACTAAGTTCATGAATGTAACCTATAGGAAATGGTCTTTGGTTCACTTTAATGTGTTTGCAAACCCAAGGTTCACATCTAAGCTGAAGTGAGTGTCAGCTTCATGGAGTGTAACCTAAGAAAGGTCAGAGCAGCTCTTTATTTGGAGCCCTCAGGTCTCATACAATAGCCTCACAGTGATGCAGACTGATCGAGGCATGCATGGCCTTGTAGAGGTACAGGTAAGTGCCAGAATAATGTAAAGATGAGCAAATGAGGGATACAAAGTAAATTGGAAGCAGGTGCTTCCACACAGGTGTGGTTCCTGAGTTAATTAAGCAATTAACATCCAATCATGCTTAGGGTCATGTATAAAAATGCTGAGCAGGCCATTATTTTAGCCATTATTTTTGCTACCATGGCTATGCCCCCAAAGGATGACAATGCCCCCATCCACAGGGCACGAGTGGTCACTGAATGGTTTGATGAGCATGAAAATGATGTAAACCATATACCATGGCCGTCTCAGTCACCAGATCTCAACCCAACTGAACACTTATGGGAGATTCTGGAGCGGCGCCTGACACAGCGTTTTCCACCACCATCAACAAAACACCAAATAATGGAATTTCTCATGGAAGAATGGTGTCGCATCCCTCCAATAGAGTTCCAGACACTTGTAGAATCTATGCCAAGGTGCATTGAAGCTGTTCTGGCTCGTGGTGGCCCAATGCCCTATTAAGACACTTTATGTTGGTGTTTCCTTTATTTTGTCAGTTAGCTGTATGTTTTAGAGCTGAAGAGAGGGCTTTGTACATCTGCAACTCATCAATGTTTGTCCATGTCCACTATATCAGGACCCAGGACAATCAATAATTTCAGATTTAATGTATCCTCTTCATGCTGATATTTGCTTTGTTGAAAAACTGCATTCCATCACTTCCATCAGCCATCATTATATATAACATCTGCAATATATTCCTTTGTGCATTGTTCTCTTCATGTAATCTCTCTGTTACACCTGTCTTGTCTCGACAGATAGAATAATCTCTGAACCAGTGGAGGACACAGATACTAGTAGCTTCATGGCAGAAATGGTACGGCTGTCTAATATCATCAGAAACAAACTAGTGTAAAGAAATGTACATTCTGAATTTAATTGAATGTACACATTGTTTTTCTTATTTCAAAAGAATAGAACAAAATTAGTTCTAACTCTTTGGTCTGAGTAGACAGAGAAAAGCCATGTTTTCAGAAAATAGCCATGTAAAGTAATTGAACCATAGTTGAGTACATTATGCTGGGAATTCTTACGCCCAGGGACTAATATAGAAACGGGTTGCAACAAGCCACTTTTCGCTATCCAACACAGAGTATAATGTTTCTCCACAGTTTACAGGCATTTTAATTGCTATATCTCTGTTTTCAAATATTTATATCAGTATAAAGATCAGAATCCATCAGTGTCCTTTTGTAGCAAAGCTGAACATGTGTGTTTGTGTCTCTTAGTCCTTGAAGTCCAACTATCCAGTCCAAGTCACAGAACATCAAGGTAGGTGCTCTAAGCTAAGTACATATGTTCACACAACTGATGTGCCTTTCTGGGGACTCTGATGAGAAAGTACAACATTCACCTACACCGTCGATCTGTCCTTTCCAGATACAGTGACACTGCAGCTGAGGTCCATGCCACCTGGCTACCTCACACCTCTCTCAGACAGAATAAGACAGGTGGGTGATGGGCTCACTTACACTGGGCTAAAGTGTAGTTTCTTTGTGTTAGTTTCATATTAATGTGAAAATGTGGTGATGAGTCTTGACAGGATGCTCCTGTACACTGTAGCTTACTAAATATAACTCCAAACCTCGAAGTCAGCATCTTAAAATGTCATACCCTGACTATCTTTAATGTTTGAGCCTTTGTAAGGGAAACTAGTGGTTGGTGTCAAAACCACAATACCGTTTTGATGGGTGAGAATGATCACTTGTTTCCGAATAGGAAAAGGGTTGTGAGTTGGTTTAAAAAGGTTGTGTTATATCAATTAGAATATTGTAAGGTAGCCTCCCGAGTGGCGCAGTGGTCTAAGGCACTGATCAGTGCTAGAGGCGTCACTACAGATCCGGGTTCGATCCCGGGCTGTGTCGCAGCCGGCCGTGACCGGGAGACCCATGAGGTGGCGCACAATTGGCCCAGCGTCGTCCGGATTAGGGGAAGGTTTGGCCGTTTGGGATGTCCTTGTCCCATCGTGCTCTAGCGACTCCTTGCGGCGGCTGGGCGCATGCACCCTGACTTTGGTCGCCAGCTGTACGGTGTTTGCTCCGACACATTGGTGCCGGCTGGCTTCCGGGTTAAGCGAGCAGTGTGTCAAGAAGCTTGGCGGGGTCGTGTTTTGGAGGACGCATGGCTCTCGACCTTCGCCTCTCCCGAGTCCGCACGGGAGTTGCAGCGATGGGACAAGACTGTAACTACCAATTGGGGAGAAAAAGGGCTAAAAAGTAAAAAATATTGTAAGGTATTCTGAATCATAACGGTAGTTAATTCACCTCTATAATTAGAACGTAATGTTTTGTTTTACCCAACCTCGTACAGCCAGTGGAAGATGGTGTAGAGTGCATTTGCACAGGCTCCATCTCACCAGGTAATTTTCATTTTCATTTTATCATGATATATACTATACCTCTGACCAACATTTCTAAGCACGTTTTAGATAGATTATAGCAACACATCTTTCTAGACAGATGCATTACAGTTACATACAGTACATGTACCTAAAATAGTAGTCTAATCATTTGTGCACTGTATATTTCCAAGGCTGTTGGTAATTCCATTCTCCCTTGCCCCAATCCCTACCCCTTAGACTTCCCCAAGGAGCTGCAGTTCTTGAACAACCCATGTGAGAAGTGCTGCTGCTCAGCTCCACCTCCAAAGATCAGTGACCTGATGGATGACAACGACTTGCTTGATTTACTGCGTCATAAACTGGACCCAAATCATTGCACTGTCAAGAACTGGAAGAACTTTGCGAGCCGTTGGGGTATGAGCTATGATGAGCTGACTCTGCTGGAGCACCGGACCCAGGGCTCAATGTGCCACAGCCCCACACAAGAGTTCCTGCTGCGCAACAACCACAAGACCGTCACTGAGCTCACCGAACTTTGCCGGGTCTACCAGCGCATTGATGTGCTGCGGCTTCTGCAACGCTGGATGGAGAACGACTGGCCCTCACGCTGGCAAAATGCTCATTAACCACATATCCCCAATCCCACAAATGATACATATTACTTTTTACATTTTGCTATCCACTTTATTGAATTAGCAATGACATCAGGGACTAGGACCATTTGTTATCAGAAGCCTATTTATTTAACAACCAGTGGTTCCCGGATTTTAGATGAGTTGGTGTGCAAAAGACAACTGGATCACGTTATGACTCCTGTGGAGTTGAGGACTAAATGGGACTGGTTGTCATTTTGTACTTGTTACCAATACTGTAGTTCTGATTATCTCAACCAGCACATTATTTTATTTTTCCAAAGGTTCCTCAACCACAGAATTGTTGTGTGTTCAAGTGTTGGTGTTCCCACAAAAATGACCAGGCGGCTAGAACATAAAAAGTGGAACTGTATTAAACAACATAGCACGTAAAGAAGGTGAGGTGGGAAAAAGAGAAGGAGATTAAAAGGGTGAATTGTTAATCAATTTTTACTTTTTAGAACAGTGACCATGTGACAATCAATGTAGTAGATATCATATGTCAAAGGTGACAGTGTTGCGTTTTGGTCTTTATAGTCTCATAAAAATAGGAATAATCTCCAAATAATGTATTGTTTTTATTCATAGTTAATGAGTCTTGATTATTTTGGGATAGTTTGAAGCTGAGGTTGTTTTTTCAATTGAGATATTTCACTACAGTTTGAATCCTAATTAGGAATTTGCCCTTACGCTTTAACCTGAATGTGGTTCCAATTCCTCTCCCCACCCCGACTTGAAGCAAATAAAAGCTAGATGTTTTCCATATTCTTGCTAATCTTATTAACTTTCCCTGAATAACACGTTTCAAAAGTAATCATATCCTCATATCAGTTACTTAAATAGTATTTTAATTGACAAGATTAAAGGGATACTGTGAGATTCTGGCATCAGATGAACTCTTGGATACAATTTTAATGTATCTGCGTGCAGTATGAAGTAAGTTAGCGGTAGTTTCGCGAGCCAATGCTAACTAGTGTTAGCGCAATGACTGGAAGTCTACAGGTACGGTAGCATTGAAAATACAGTGACGAAAAAGGTTTCCTGTGGAAGTCTTCCATGAAAGTTTGAGCTTTCTGTGTGTGTGATGATTATATCAACTTGGTTTATTTGTTTTAATTTCATTGATGAATATCCAATCATACAGGAAATCATATAGACAAATTGATATAGTAGTTTATTGGAGAAAAATATAACGAATGAATAGTATAATTACATTTCACTGTTCAACAGTTGTTTTAGCTTAAAATGTGAAGATGACAGATTCCATAAAGATTATGTCTCCTTTACGGGTGAAACATGTCTGAATTGTGACAGATACAATACTGAGGCATTTGTAAAAATAAGTAAACTTCCAAGTGAACAGCATTTGGGAAACATTACCATAATTTAAATACATTTGAGTACACATAGAGCTAATGAGCACATTTTCCTTCATTTTGCTGTCAACTGTTTAAATATAGATGTAGCATATGGATTAATACAAACAGACATCAGAGATTCTACATACAAATAATTAAGTTTCTGTTTTGTTTGTACATAGAGACAAACCACATCCTTAAAATGGAGTCAACTCAAGAACAAATGGAATGATACTTTAGATTGATGTATTTACAAAATAGTTACACTTGGGATAAACCAACATGAATAAGGTTCACATGGCTGGAAACTATCAATAATCTGCATCGGGTTCTTTGATATTCAGACCAAGCATATTGGAGAGGCTTATTGATATGATATCGTTTCCCTCCGATGAGTCCACTACAGGGTATTCCAGGCCTACCCCAGATTTAGGTTTCGTAACTTTGAAAGTCCCTCTTTTTAGCAAAGTGGAACTGTCTGCGTCTGAGGTGGACCTGACATTAAGGCTAGGGGCACGGAGCTCACCTTTCACTTCTGGTAGGGAGACATTAGCTGTGGGTGTTTTTGCTTTAAATCTCTTCAACCGCTCCATGATGTTAATAAGTCCTGAAGGTGATGTCACCTTCTGTCCTTCATTCACTTTAGGCAAACTGACCTCTGCGCCAGCTGTTTCAAGGCCTCCGTCAAGATTTTGTGTGTCAATCGCCTCACCAAGGGCCTTGGCAGCATCTTGGAATGCACTCTCAATCTTGTTGGTCTGTGGCAGTCTGTGAAAGGTAAACATTGGTACCTCTACCTGATCACTCTTTGATTCATTCCTACTCTGTTCTTCCTCATCGTCCATGTCAGAATCTTTACCTTTTGAGCCAGATGATTTAAAGCTTGGCGACTTGAATGGCCATTTGAACGTACTTTTGTGAGTGTCTCCCTCTTCCTCAACATCTACTTTGAGGTCAGCTTCTGGTAAATTTACATCCAAATCTGGCATGTCAGCACTGGCCTCAATGCCAGGAGCAGAGAGACTCAGTTCAGGTGTACTAATCTCTCCCTCAACTTTGGGGAATAAAACTTCCACATCAGGTATATTTACATCTGCACTAGCATTATATTCTGTTCCCTTTCTTCTAGGTCCTGAGAGACCAAACTTTGGCATCTTATAATGAGGCAGTTTTCCAGAGGGAGCCGCAATGTCAACATCTGGAGCTTTCAACTCAACCTCAGGGCCTTTAATGTCTGGGACACTTACTTCAATTCCTGGGGTAGAGAGACTTAGATCAGGACCATTCAACTCAACCTCAGGGCCAGAGTAGTCCGTTTTTGGTAAACTTAGATTTACATCTGGAGCACTAATATAACTTTTAACATTAGGATCAGATAGATTGAGGTATGCTTGAGGTACAGCTAAATCTACCTTTGGGGTTTCAAGCCGAGTCTCAACTCTGGGAACTGAAATATTAATGTCAGGTGTATCAATGTCACGTTTTGGTCCCTTCAGTTTAGAACCTGAAAGGCCAAATGTGGGGAGTTTAAAATGAGGCAATTTGAATTTGCCTGAAGGGGCATCAATGTCTACATCTGGAGCTTTTAGATCTACTGCAGGTCCTTTGAGGTCAGGTTTGGGTACATTGATTCTTATCTCTGGTACATTCACTTCACCCTCAAGTTTGGGGGCAGAACGGTTGGGCTCTAGTGCTTTCAGGTCTAGACCAGGACCTTGGAGATCTACTTCTGGTAAATTCACATCAGCCTTAGGAGCGGAGATGGCAAAATTTGGTGTCTTCAGATCAGCATCAACATTAAGGTCAACAGAAGCATTAAGATCAACATCTGGGGCTTGGAGATCTACATCTAGTCCTTCAAGGACCACTTTACTTTTGGGGTCAGAAAGGTCCAGGTCTGGTGTTTTCAGCTCTACTACAGAGGCTTGGAGGTCAGCTGTCGGTAAACTGACATCCACATCAGGAACAGAGACATCCAATGTTGGGGCCTTTAGCTCAGCATCAAGGTTTGGTCCTTTAACTCTTGGTCCTGTTAAACTGGATTTGGGGAGTTTGAATTTGGGCAACTTGAAGGTTCCAGATGGGGCATCAAGGTCAACTTCTGGGGCTTTAAGATCCACCGCTGGACCTTTAATGCCAGCTTCAGGCAAACTGGTACTCAAACCTGGAGCAGCCATAGATCCCTTGATTTTGGGGGCAGAAAGGTCTGGTGTTTTCAGCTCTACTACAGGGGCTTGGCAGTCAGCTGTTGGCAAACTGACATCCACATCAGGAACAGAGACATCCAATTTTGGGGCCTTTAGCTCAACATCAAGGTTTGGTCCTTTAACTCTTGGTCCTGTTAAACTGGATTTGGGGAGTTTGAATTTGGGCAACTTGAAGGTTCCAGATGGGGCATCAAGGTCAACTTCTGGGGCTTTAAGATCCACCGCTGGACCTTTAATGCCAGCTTCAGGCAAACTGGTACTCAAACCTGGAGCAGCCATAGATCCCTTGATTTTGGGGGCAGAAAGGTCTGGTGTTTTCAGCTCTACTACAGGGGCTTGGCAGTCAGCTGTTGGCAAACTGACATCCACATCAGGAACAGAGACATCCAATTTTGGGGCCTTTAGCTCAGCATCAAGGTTTGGTCCTTTAACTCTTGGTCCTGTTAAACTGGATTTGGGGAGTTTGAATTTGGGCAACTTGAAGGTTCCAGATGGGGCATCATGGTCAACTTCTGGGGCTTTAAGATCCACCGCTGGACCTTTAATGCCAGCTTCAGGCAAACTGGTACTCAAACCTGGAGCAGCCATAGATCCCTTGATTTTGGGGGCAGAAAGGTCTGGTGTTTTCAGCTCTACTACAGGGGCTTGGCAGTCAGCTGTTGGCAAACTGACATCCACATCAGGAACAGAGACATCCAATTTTGGGGCCTTTAGCTCAGCATCAAGGTTTGGTCCTTTAACTCTTGGTCCTGTTAAACTGAATTTTGGGGGGTTGTATTTTGGTAACTTCAATGTTCCAGAGGGAGCATCATGGTCAACTTTAGGCAAACTGATATTCAAATCTGGAACAGTAAAGTCTTCCTCAATTGCTGGTGCTGAGAGGTTGAGATCTGTTGTTTTCAAGTCGAGACGAGGCCCTTTCAGATCTGCTTCAGGTAAATTAACATCAACATCTAATTCTGGGGTCTTAAGATCAGCATCTACATCAAGTTCCGGTCCTTTTACTTTTCTTATTTTTGGCCATTTTAGTTTCGGCAACTTGAATTTTCCAGAGGGAGCATCAAGGTCTAAATCTACATCTGGTCCTTTGAGGTCAGCTTCAGGCAAACTGACATTGATATCTGGAACAGCGATGTCTCCTTCAATTGCTGGTGCTGAGAGGTTGAGATCAGGGCCTTGGAGATCTGCTTCTGGTAAATTCACATCAACCTCCGGAGCTGAGAGGTCCAAATCTGCTTTCTTCAGATCAGCATCAATATCAAGGTTTGGTCCCTTCACCTTATGTCCAGACCAGTTAATTTTGGGCATTTTTAAAGTTCGAAATCTATGCTTTCCAGTGGGTGCCTCAACGTTGACTTCTGGTGCCTGAAGATCTACATCTGGAACATCAATATCTGCTGTAATTGCTGGTGCGGAGAGGTTAAGATCAAGGCCTTGGAGATCTGCTCCTGGTAAATTCACATCAACCACGGGAGCTGGTCGGTCCAAATCTGCTCTCTTCAGATCAGCATCAAGCTTTGGTCCCTTCACCTTATGTCCAGTCCAGTTAATTGTGGGCATTTTTAAAGTTGGAAATCTATGCTTACCAGAGGGTGTCTTAATGTCGACCTCTGGTGCCTGAAGATCTACATCTGGACCTTTCAAATCAGCTGTGGGCTTCTTTAGGTTGAACCACTTGACTTTTCCAGAGGGTGCATCAATGTCAACATCTACCACTGGGCCTTCAAGGTCAGCTTTGGGTAAATTAAGATCTACATCTGGTGCATGTATTTCTCCATCAATATTTGGAGTGGAGAGATTGAAGTCTTTGGGACCCTTAGCCTTGGGTCCAGAGAGATGAAACTTGGGCTTTTTTAGAGTAAGCAATTTCAATTTCCCTGAAGGGGGCTCAATGTCCACTTCTGATGCGTTCAGGTCTACTTCAGGGCCTTTGATATCATTTGGCAAATTGGTGTGCAAATCAGGCATGTTAAGCCCTGCCTCAACTTCAGGGACAGAGAGACTGAGGTCAGGTGCTTTCAGATCTGCATCAACATCAATGTCTGGAGCTTTTATATTTGGTCCAGAGAGCCTGAAATTTGGCTTTTTGAGTTTTGGGAACTTAAGTTTCCCAGTGGGAGAATGAATGTCAACATCAGGGACTTTTACATCTACCTCAGGGCTACTGAGGTCTGCTTTGGGTAAATTCAATTCTAAATCTGGGTTGCTCATCTCAGCCTCAATTTTTGGGACAGAAAGATCAACAGTTGGTGTCTCCAGATCTGCCTTAAAATCCACACCAGGGGGGTTGACTTTGGGCCCATGAAGACCAAATTTGTGTTTCTTTAAATGAGGCCATTTGAATTTACTTGAGGGAGCCTCAATGTCGATATCTGGAGCTTGCAGATCTACCTCAGCTTTTGGTAAACTCAGGTCTACATCTGGTGCGCTTATCTCTCCATCAATGTTGGGAGTGGAGAGATTGTCAGGTGCAGACAGGTCAGCATCTATGTCCACTTCAGGTCCCTTCACTTTTGGTCCAGATAATCTGAACTTGGGCTTTGTGAGAGTAAGCCATTTGAATTTGCCTGATGGAGCCTCAATGTCAACATCTGGAGCTTTCAAGTCAGCATTTGGCCCATTCAAATCTACATCTGGGCATTTGATTTCCACATCAGGGGCTGAGAGGGTCAGGTCTCGTGTCTCTAGCTCTCCACTGAGACCAGGGCCTTCTAAATCTGCTGATACATTCACGTCTCCCTTTGGCGCTTTGGCTTTTATGTGTGGTGGTTTGAAGTGAGGCATTTTGAATTTTGGATGCTTGTACTTCAATCCACTCGTCTTAACCGCTGGTTTCTCCAAGTCAAGTGAAGCATCTGAAGTGCTGAGCTCTGGTGTTGATAGACTGACTTTAGGGCCTCTGAGGGTGCCCTCCTGATCTGCTCCTTTCATTACAGGCCCAGACATTCCAATGGTGGGCATTGGAAACTTTGCACCTCCATCAGTTCCAGGTGTGTCCAAGGTCACATTGGGCAATTTCCCATTCAAAGTGGGACCATTGATTTCATTATTCAACCTGCCTTCTGCATTTAATTGTCCACTGAGGCCAACAACCTCAATAGATGGTGCCTCAACTGCTCGCTGCATTCTGCTGTAGGTATCTTTGAGCATCTGTTGACAATCAAATAGCAATTAAGTGGTAGTCAATGGACAAATACTAAGTAATGATCCATAATACATTATTGATATAATTGTTCAGAAATGAAAAGGCACCTTGAGCATAGTGTAATGACTGCTGGCATAAATCATGAAGTAAATTTGATTCTGATACTTACATCCCCGGGACTTTTGAGACCACCGTCCAATGAGCCGAGACTGGCGCTGGCTTTCAGACCAGGCTTTGTCACAAAACTCATGTTGTCTTCGTAAGGCTCCATGATCTTGAGTATTTCCATCAGGTCATCTTTACTGAGGTGGTTAAGATGTATGGTGGCAGCAACAATCTCATCGCCTAAAACAGTAGGGAAAAAATGGAGGCTTGAAAGAATATCTCTGTCGTTTTCTTATATGTACAACTAAAAATACAAAGTACATATGCTTTACATTTTATAATTAGGAACGTTTTTTAGTAGAAATTAACTGGTATGTGACATTTTACCTTCTTTCAAGCCACTCTTATGAGTGACACTAGGGTCTGTGATTCCAGTGATGACAACTCCTCCTCTGTCTGAATCCTCCAGGACCAAGCTTTCGGAGTAACGTCTTTGCCGACTTTTCCCATTCTAGTAAGAGGTCAACAGTCAAATACAATTAAATCAAATCAATTGTAGTCACTATCATGAAGTTTAAGCATCAACTGTTTGTAACAGTTACTTTAGCATGTGAGCAGTATTCAAAGACTCTGGGAAGACAACATCTGTATGGTTTTAGGATCTGATTTCTTAGACTGTGAATACACCCCAGGATAGATAGCTTGTTTTTAGGAGAACACACTTCCTCAAGGCTTCTGTTCTTTAAAGGGGAAATCTGCAGTTCAAACACTGTTTTCGTAAGAAGTTGAGGGGTGAGGCTGGAGAAATGTAACCACTCTCATTTACATTTACGTCATTTAGCAGACGCTCTTATCCAGAGCGACTTACAGTTAGTGCATACATTGCATATATATATATATATTTTTTTTTATACTGGCCCCCCGTGGGAATCGAACCCACAACCCTGGCGTCTACCAACTGAGCTACCTCCCTGCCGGCCATTCCTTCCCCTACCCTGGACGACGCTGGGCCAATTGTGCGCCGCCCCATTGGTCTCCCGGTTGCGGCCGGCTACAGCAGAGCCTGGATTCGAACCAGGATCTCTAGTGGCACAGCTAGCACTGCGATGCAGTGCCTTAGACCACTGCGCCACTCGGGAGGCTCAGTGGCCTAAGGGAGACTCTCAAATTCATAGACAGAGCTATGGATGCAAGGACTGAGCAACCATGATATAAAAAGTATAGTTTTAATCATGTTTTGAGGCTAGTGTTGGTTTACAATTCCATTGTTTACTAACAATGGAGCAACATAAGATTATATATTTTGGGTTCTGATGGTATGACACTGGAACTAAGCTCATGAAGCTTTTATAAGTTAGATTCTTCATTAATCAATGGGTATAATTAATTTAAAAGTCCTAAAATGGATGTACCAATCATAGATTGCCTCTTTAATGGGAAGCATGAAAGGTTATGAAATGTCAGGAAATTGTATAAATAAAGTATTTCACTCACCATGATTTCTGAAGTATATTTACAGCAGCATATCAAGAAAGATGTCCACTATAACCTGTAAAAACAACAACAAAAAAGAAGTGAGGTGCAGTTAATAATATGGTTTAAGAAGCAGAACTCTATAAAAAATAAAACAATCTTACAGGGTTGTATCTTGCACTACAATAAAATGGACATTGAAACATCTTCAAGGACAATTTTCCCTTATTTTGTGACAGCCAAATGAAAAATCAATTTCAACCTAATATAATACTGTTTTTATTGTAGGGTACCGTTCTACAATGAAAATGTGGAAATAATTGCTGTTACTACACCAAACAAAAATATAAATGCAACATGCAACAGTTTCAACGATTTTGAGTTACAATTTATATAAGGAAATCAGTCAATTGAAATAAATTCATTAGGCCCTAATCTATGGATTTCACATGACTGGGAATACAGATATGCATCTGTTGGTCACAGATACCTTTAAAAAAAGGTAGGGGCGTGGATCAGAAAACCAGTTAGTATCTGGTGTGACCACCATTTGCCTCATGCAGCGCAACACATCTCCTTCGCATAGAGTTGATCAGGCTGTTGATTGTAGCCTGTGGAATGTTGTTCCTCTCCTCTTCAATGGCTGTGCGAAGTTGCTGGATGTTGGTGGGAACTGGACACGTTGATCCAGTGCATCCCAAACATGCTCAATGTCTGGTGAGTATGCAGGCCATGGAAGAACTGGGACATTTTCAGCTTCCAGGAATTGTGTACAGATCCTTGCGACATGGAGTCGTGCATTATCATGCTGAAACATGAGGTGATGGCGGCGGATATATGGCACGACAATGAGCATCAGGATCTCGTCACGGTGTCTCTGTGCATTCAAAGTGCCATTGATAAAATGCAATTGTCTTACATTTACATTACATTGTCTTCATTGTCCATAGCTTATGCCTGCCCATACCATAACCCCACCACCACCATATGGCACTCTGTTCACAATGTTGACATCAGCAAACCGCTCGCCCACACGTCTGCCATCTGCCTGGGAGTGTTGAAACCAGGATTCATCCGTGAAGAGCACATTTCTCCAGCATGCCAGTGGTCATCAAAGGTGAGCATTTGCCCACTGAAGACGGTTACGACACCAAACTGCAGTCAGGTCAAGACCCTGGTGAGGACGACGAGCACGCAGATTAGCTTCCCAGAGAAGTTTTCTGACAGTTTGTGCAGAAATTATTCGGTTGTGCAAACCCACAGTTTTATCAGCTGTCCGGGTGGCTGGTCTCAGACGATCCCGCAGGTGAAGAAGCCGGATGTGGAGGTCCTGGGCTGGCGTGGTTACACGTGGTCTGCGATTGTGAGGCCGGTTGGACATACTGCCAAATTCTCTAAAACGATGTTGGAGGCAGCTTATCGTAGAGAAATTAACATTCAATTCTCTGGCAACAGCTCTGGTGGACATTCCTGCAGTCAGCATGCCAATTGCCCGCTCCCTCAAAACTTGAGATATCTATGCACATTTTAGTGGCCTTTTATTTTAGTTTTGTTCAGTATAATTACAAAACTTTCTCACATTATAAAAATATATATATGTGTTGATATAACCGGTAAATGTTTTGAGAGGTGTAGCTAGCAGAAAACCACATCCTCTCCCAGCCCAGCGGGTGAAACATCCACGCATGCACATGTGCACGCACACACACAAACGCATACCACTTGTTTGAAGTAAAAACTACTTTTTATGCACATGACAAACTTTAGTACAGAGTTAATGTATCTCTCTGCTCAGACTTACACCTGAACAGTCTTTCCTAGACTTTTGCTATGTCTCAAGACGCCCTAACCCCCCTCATACAAAATGATAAACAATTCATCACACAAAATGTGTTATAGCCTAGGAATGCCACTCATTTCAATAAAAGGGTAGGACGACTATCATTCTAAACAAAACTACATATTACATTCTTACTACATTCTCGCATCAATACTAGAGTTATCATATCATAACACGCAACAACCAACCAAAATAGTAATTGGACTATACTATACACTGACTACACAAAACATTAACACCTGCTCTTACCATGACAGACTCGATATTAGGAAGGTGTTCTTAATGTTTCGTACACTCAGTGTATGTTTCTTAAAAAGGTACTATCATCACTATTGTTTATAATGACAATCATTCTTAATATCCACACTAAAGCTTGTCAAAGCTCTCTGCCTTCAATTTACTGCTGCCTGATTGACAGATAGAGTGACAGCGACACCTAACCACAGCCTCACACCTCAGGAATCCCAGGCATGGCCAGGATGCTCAGGGGAATGTATCGCAAACCAGTTGGTTGAGATGCATGCTAGCTTACATGCTATACCTACTACCACAGCCGCATACTGCCACACCCACTACTTTCAATGAATGTCAATGCGTCACCTACACTGAGGGGTCGGGTGGGCAGCATGTCAGAAAGAAGAAATGGTGTAAGTGGAATTATGAGTGTCATGATATTGGCTTCAAAACATTACATTATTACACGACCACAAATGCATTCTGTGAAAATGCAAAACATGAAGCCACATACTTTTGGTTACAACTTTTACCGGTCTCTCTGTTTCATGAAAAGGAAAAAAGTTGTTTCAATCTCTGAGGATAAATATTAGAAGTAAAAGAAGATTGAAGCAAGTCAATAGTTGTGGGTTTATTATTGTGGCTTCATTTAAAGGCAAGTAAAAATACCAAATGAATGGCTTGGCTTGATATGTAATTCCTGTTAGATGTACAGTACATCACAGCAAGCAACATTCCATATGTAAAGGGAGTTCTATGAGACAATGATTGAAATACTGTATACCATTTCATAATTTTATGGTGGCTTCATTCTCATCTGACCACTATGAAGAATGTAATGCAACAGCAACACCTCAGAGATATCAAGTAACAATGGTACTATAAAAGACACTATGCACCTTTTTCCGGGACACAGATTAAGCCTAGTCCTGGTCTAAAATTCTCTATTGAGATTCTCCAGTTGAGTATGCTTTTTAGACCAGGACTAGGCTTAATCTGTGTCCCGGAAACAGGTGCATAGTGTCTTTTATAGTACCATTGTTACTTGATATCTCTGAGGTGTTGCTGTTGCATTACATTCTTCAGTGGTCAGATGAGAATGAAGCCACCATAACATTATGAAATGGTATACAGTATTTCAATCATTGTCTCATAGAACTCCCTTTAAATATGGAATGTGTTGCTTGCTGTGATGTACATCTAACAGGAATTATATGTTTGATGAATAGTACCCCACTAGCAAAATCCACTTCACCAATCATTGATCAATCTACAGTTCTGGGCAAGGTATTTTGACAAACTATCTTTCAGGGTGACACCAAGTGCCAAGTTCATTAACAATCAGCCAACAACAATAACCCATGTGCCGAAATATGACCCTACATCCACCCACAAATGTCGATATCACACAAATCAAGTCGTAGGGTCACACAAATCAAATTATTTACTACCTTCACCCGCTCATTTACATTTAGGTCAAGGCAATTTCATGAGGGACAATTTAATCTGTTCAGCAAGACATTTAAAATATAAAACTAGAAGAATTTCATAAAATTGCAGAAACTATAAATCCATTACTAGCTTCAACACAGCATAATTAACACTGTTAGGCCTCTGTACTCTACATACAAGAGCACTAAACTGATTGAAGTTCCCATTGTACCATCAGCACAAATGACAATGTTAAATATCTCATTCTAATTGCATCAAAAGCCTTATAAAGCTAATCTTTGTATGCTGGGGCTCGCTGGGCTCGGATTAGGGCATAGGATAGGAAGGACTTACCTTGTGATGTCTTAGAGATGTGTCCTCCAAAAGCCCAGGCAATGTTGTCTCCTCTGTACCTCAGCTGTTCTGTCAACTTAAGAGGATCGGTCAGTTAAATGCCTTCTCGGACCACCACCTGAGCTGGAAAACAGGTTAGGCAACACCAGACTCAATGCCACCCCAACCCCCACCCCTTTCACAGGGAGAGGGACATGTCATGCACATTTGCAGGGCTGGTGACAGCCGAAACTTGCCAAGAGAGTGAGAGGTGACGAATAAGCGAAGTACACACCACTCCTCCTTAACAGGCTGAACCAGGTTTTTCAAAGAGAAACAAGAAACAGAAGCCTGCAATAGTTGCAAAACATGCACCTACACTCAACGAATGAATGCGCTCATTAATTCGCTTACACACATAGCTCTGGAGAGATTAATGGAATCAAAAGATTCTGACCATCAGCCATTCGTCAGTATTTGCCATCTCCTACTGTATCCAACTGACCTGTGTAATGAAGGGGGACTGAGGTGTTCTTGTTTTTAAAGGTTTGAGTTTTTAAAAGTTGCTTATTATCTTCAATGTAATGAAAACTTTTTGTATTTGAGTTATTTCAACTTTGGGGGTTTGTGTGTCCATATAGTTGGTACATGGCAGGCATCTTACCTTATCCTCTACCCATCAACCCCTACACTACATCATCATACTGTAGACTTACTTTACTTACCGATTCCACTTCGTCCCAAGTGGGACATAAGGCCATAGACTATGAAATCACAGTTTTGATGCTCAGTATACCAACATGGTAACAATTACTGAGTTATGCTTACTATGTGTACCATACCAAAACCAGGCATAGCACAGTGAGTCATTGCCCTACCCACTCTGTCGATTAATACAATGTTTGAACAGTGCATCATAAGAGTAGTGCTCAGCTCCAGGAAAACAGTTGTGATCTACAGTGGTAGGTGCAATAAAAAGTGCCTCTGAACTGAAAGTTTAATTTCCTGATTGGCTGTTGGCAAGTGAACATGATATCTCAGGATGAGAGCTGTTGGTCAAGTTACAAAAACATACTTGCAGTGAAGACATCGAAAAGACACACAGTGGTGAACAATTTATACATGGGTAACACGCAGATCGATACTTTCCGGAATATTTTCATTCAACAGAGACAATCAACATAACATCTGTCAATAGAATGATTTATAGTCAGAATGAAAACTCTGTAGCTCAGCTGGTAGAGCACGGCGCTTGTAACGCCAAGGTAGTGGGTTCGATCCCCGGGACCACCCATATACAAAAATGTATGCACGCATGACTGTAAGTTGCTTTGAATAAACGCGTCTGCTAAATGGCATATTATTATTATAAAACATTTGCAGATCTGAAGGGACCGGATAGGTGTCACGGTGTCAGTGTAATGCGGTAGACGAAGTCAGGCGCAGGACACAGAACTAAATGAAAACGTAACTTTACTGAACACGTAAAGAAACAAGTAAACCTCCACGCAGGGAGGAACAAACCCGCTCACCAACGACACCCGAAACAAACATGCACAGAGCACAATGGGAGCCACACGGTTAAATAGGGACGGAGTAATTACAAGATGGGAAACAGGTATGAAACAATCAGACAACAACAGGTAGAACATAGAAACATAGAACATAGATCGGCAGCAGCTAGTACTCCGGTGACGACGAACGCCGAAACCTGCCCGAGCAAGGAGGAAGGGCAACCTCGGCAGAATCTGTGACAATAGGTGAAGCATGGTAACAGCTCCACCAAGCCTTCCAATACCCTATGAAAGTCCCGCCTACTTCCTGGTGCAAGTCCCGTACTGTTTTTGAATGGGGGTCAAGCTTACCATAAAATTCATGAAAATGGGGTCACTTCAGATATATGTATGGTTATTTGTAGATTAATTTACCTTTACCCAATGCCTTTTATGAAGGTTTTCGATTAAAAAACGCAATCGTTCATGAAAGGCATCAGGTAGAAGTAAATTAATCCACGAATACGAATATTATTTTACATGCATCTTAAAATGACCACGTTTTTATGAATGTGATGATACAGTATAAGCTTGAAGCCCATTCAAAAACAGTATGGGACTTGCACCAGGAAGTAGGCGGGACTTTTATAGGGTATAGGCACAGAGAAGCCGCTATATTGCTTACACCAATCCTGTTCTCAAATCTGCTAACACAAAATTGTATCGCCAATAGGCCTCTTGAAAAAAGCATATAGTACACAATAACTGAGTTATAAGGTATCTATAACCCTTGCTATGTAATTCTTCTGAAGATATAGTAGATATCTGTCTTTGGCCTTCCACAGGAGGTGGTGGATGTGAAATGACCATGTAGGTAGGGGAATAAACAGTGAAGAGCTGGTTTTACACAAGTAGAGTGGATTAGGTGAGTTTATTAGTCACATGCACAAGTCCGCAGATGTAATTGCAGGGTACAGTGAGGAACGAAATCCGGGTGGCAGGAGGGGGACAGGGGGATCAGGTAGCTGCCTATTTGTAGCTATTCAGCAGCCTGATGGTCTGGGTGTAGAAGTTATTGGCCAGTCTGACAGTTTTTGCCATGATACTCCTATACTGCCCACGTCTGAGTGATGGAAGCGGGGAGAACAGGCCGTGGCTTGGGTGGCTGAGGTCCTTGATGATATTCTTGGCCGTCCTGCGACACCTGGTGTTGTAGGTATCCCGGATGGCAGGCAGTGTGCACCCAATTGTGCGTTTGCCTGAGCGTACCACCCTCTGTAGAGCCTTGCCATCAGCCGTGGTGGAGTTGCCGTACCAGGCTGTGTTGCAGCCCAACTGTATGCTCTCGATGGTGCTTCTGTAGAATACTGAGGGCCCTCGGGGACAGGCCACGTTTCTTCAGCCTTGTGAGGTTGAATAGTCGCTGTCGTGCCTTCTTCACCACGGTGTATGTGTGGTTTAACCACTTCAGCTCCTCAGAGATGTGTACGCAGAGGAACTTGAAGTTTTTTACTGTCTCCACAGTGGCCCTGTTGATGAGGATGGGGGCGTGCCCATCCTGGTTCCTCCTGAAGTCCATAATCAGCTCCTTTGTTTTGCTGACATTGAGGGATAGGTTGTTTACCTGGCACCACTCTGTCAGAGTGCTTACCTCCACTCTGTAGGCTGTCTCGTCGTTGTTGGTAATCAGGCCTACTACTGTCGTGTCGTCAGCCAACTTGATAATGGAGTTGGAACTGTGTGAGGCCACGCAGTCGTGGATATACAGGGAATACAGGAGGGGACTGAGGATGCACCCTTGTGGGGCCCCGTGTTGAGGATCAGTGTGGAGGAGGTCATGTTGCCTACCTTCACCACCTGGGGGACGACCTGTCAGGAAGACAAAGACATGCACTGCAAGGAAAATACCAGATGTTCTCATAATTAATGAAAATTGCACAGGGAGGTTGTGAATTTGTTCCTACATGTCTGCAACCAAGTCAAATGGTTTCGCCTGAAGGGAGGATTCTGGAATCAGAGAAGAAAAAAGGATGGCTTCTTGATTCATGTTTCACTTACTGTCTCAGCTTCAGGTCTAAACATGTAGTACTCTCATAGCTAGACTTCTCTTTAATGAAAGTCTCTGAAATGTCAGGTGAGGAGCTCTCTAAAACAAAGAAACGCCCCCCCCCCCCCTCTGTTTGCACAGGCCCAAACACCACACTGTGCATATAATTGAATTATATGTGCTTCAAATATAGTAAACTACAACACTAAATCAGAAAAAAGCAACCATGTTGAAAAGTCTTTGTGTCATACCACTAACATTCTTCGACAACAACATTCTTCACATACTTTGTCTCCTTTAAGTTCAAAGACAGAATCTTCATTTAACAATCCATGACAGCAAGGCCCTCCAGCGGGAGATGATGGCCCAGTACATCACTGGGACCGTGCCCCTACCCATCCAGGACATCTACTGGAAACTGTGCCTGAGGAAGGCACACCGCATCAAGGACCCCATATTTTTACTCGTTGTTTTTATTTGTTATTCACTGTCCCACTATTTCAATTTTTTATCTAATTTTTAACTCTGCATTGTTTGAAAAGGACCCGTAAGTAAGCATTTCACTGTTAGTCTACACCGGTTGTCTACGAAGCATGTTTCAAATACAATTTGACACACCCCAGCCATGAGCTGTTCTCTCCTTTACCGTCAGGCAGACTGTATCGGAACATGAGGTCTAATACCAACAGGCTCAGAAACAGTGTCTATCTACAAGCCATCAGACTGCTGAACTGGACTGACCACCTGCTCTGATTCTCCGCATCTTAGTGCACATTCATAGACATTCATGCTACACACATCACAACTGCTGCTACCAGACTCCTACTGCTCAGTTAATACACTGCCCCCCATCCCCAATACACGTGTAAATATTAAGACTATAAATTGTGCCTTCCTGTATTATACTTATGCTAAAATGTTTATTCTACTCTACTGTGCCAGTTACTTTATGTTCGTATTCTTATCTTTTATTATTTCTTATTGTTGTTGCATTGTCGAGAAGGAACCTGCAAGTAAGCATTTCGTTGGACGATGTATACCATGCCTATCCAGTACATACGATTAATAAAACTTGAAAATGAATGCTGCTCAAACTTTCTCTTGCATTTGTAAGTCCTCCTATGCAGCTCGTCATTGTGGAATGTCGAGGGGAGGGGGTCTTTTTTTCTTGCCGATGTGACTGGCTCTGATGGTAAATAGTTAGACGCTGTCAATCCGGATATTTGGACTATACGTTATCTTGTAAGTGGTACCCATAGTAAGGGAAAGAATTCTGAGAATGCGACAGACAGCTTTTTCTAACCTACCTACTCCATTTGTATTGACAATGATGTCCAATCCACACAACATTGTATCAAAGGTTACACACCTTCAATTTGGAATCAAGGGCAATCTGTAATGAGTTTAGCACAATGGTCACATGTTCTTATGACAAGAGGTGGAAAAGTGACAGGTTCTTTAAAATCTCAGTTGAGCAGGTAGAGTGAAGTAGAGACCAAACACAAAGGGGAAGTTTCAAACATGTATTTTAGGGCATGGTTCTGTCCAATACTTTGCAATCAAGTCTCAACACATTCTATTTACATTTATGCTTGATTTAGCTCTTACGTAATATCAATAAATTACTTTAAAAACATACCCTAATCAAGAAAAGAAAAAAAAGC